AACCATTCATCATATCAAGAACCATGGAAACCTCAGACTGTCCCACAAATGGTACAACAACTAAAACGACCTGAAAAGGGCTTTTGAGCAACTACTGTAAAAATGCCTCGATGGACAAATACAAACATGCCTCAAATACATTTAAGAAGAGAAAGTCTCGTCAGCAAAAGAACAAATAAAAAAGACGATATAAAGATAAAATGGGACTGGAAAATAGAACCAATAGAGCTCAATGATGTGCTACACAGCAGAATGGAGGGGACCATGTAAAGAAGCCGTGAACATAATGAAGACAGTAAAATTATTCAATCTTAATAACAGAAAGAAAAATGACACACATACATATAAATATGCATATACATATTTAGAGAAGGAAACTCAGGAATTTGTGGAATTATAACAAAATATATTCATGTCATTGAATTCTTGGTGAAGTTGGTGGATGGAATGTTGACAAAGTATTCAAAGAAATTATGGCTCAAAAATCCCCAAATCAGGCAAATGATACTGCAGATTTAAGAAGAGGAATAAACCCTAAACAAATTCCAAAGAAATCCACACCTAGATACGCCATAGACAAACTTCTGAAAACTAAAATAACTGCACTCAAAATAATAACAAAGTTCCAATGGGAATATATACAAAGATGTTGTCTGCCTTTACTTAAAATACCCAGTATTTTGAAGCTTTCAACAATCTAGTACGCAGTTTAAATTCAAATCTACAACTTCAAGTCTACAACTGCCATTTTACCATGGTGTAAAAGTCTAGGGCACAAACTACATACAGCTGAGGTAAATCTTTATAAATAAGCACATTCTCAGGTGACTTGAAACATCAAAGGGCTCCTCTGTACTCTCCCTTTCTAAGCTGTAGGTCATAACCCTTGCAGTTAAACATTAATCAATAAGCAAGAGCTTAAAGACACAGGGTAGAGAAGTAGATCACCCAGGCCAAGCAAGATTCCTTTGCTTAAAGTGTAAAGTTGCCTGCATGTAAACTTTGTGATGAATTCTACTCACTAACATCTACTATTTTCCCTGGTTATGAGTACACAGTTGAGTGGTTTTCTCAACCAACATAACCTGGGCACATCCCCAGCTTCTTCATGTCTTTCGGCTCTTGAAGGGCCCCTGGTGGAAGAGTGGGCTATGCACTGAGCTGCTCACTGAAAGGCCTGTGGTTCAAGTCCACCAGCCACTCACTGGACTACAATAAGGTAGTCTGCTTCAGTAAAGACATTTAGTCCCAAAAACGTTAGGAAGCAGTTCTACTCTGACCTAGAGAGTAACCAAATCAGGATTTATAGATAGCAGAATTTATAGAAAGCAGTGGGTTTAGGATTGTACTTGGTATGCACATGTACTTAAGACTAAAGGCAATTCCCTTTCCACCACCATTCCTGACCTTGGGCAAACTTACTGGCATTTCTCTAACTCATTATTTCTACCCTTGAAATGTATCTAAAATTTCACCTCTGAGCATGATGAGATGACTTGGCCCATTCAAGATGTCTTCTTTTATCATGGCACATCCTAATTTTCTGTCAAGGATTTGGGAGTTTACATACATTAGAAATATTTTTCCTTTTTTCAACTAGGGAAACTCACAAGGTCCTGCATTAGAACATTTTAATGTTAAAAAATGTAAAAACCTGCTCAACAGTCTTGCTATGCCATGTGTGTTTGTGTGATTTGTAGCAATTTTAAATGTCCTTCTAGCTCTCACATGTACAATGCCTCATAAGGATTTTGAATGCAATGCGTTTGCAGCCATCCTTATCCAGTATGAATTCTCTTTTGTTGGCCAAAGGCTGAATGCCCACTAAAGGCTTTTCCATAGTCCTCGGTTTTCCCCCCAGCATGAGTTTTCTGATGTTGGGAAAGGGAAGAACTTTGGCTGAAGGCTTTCCCACATTCTTTGCACGTATAGGGTTTTTCTCCAGTGTGCGTTTTCTGATGTTTAGTGAGAGAAGAGCTCTGGCTGAAAGCTTTCTCGCAGTCTTTACATTTGTAAGGTTTCTCTCCAGTGTGTGTTCTCTGGTGACGGATTAGTGCCGAGCGGTCACTGAAAGCTTTGGCACAATCATTACACTTGTAGGGCTTCTCCCCTGTGTGAGTTCTCTGGTGCTGAGTTAAAGCTGAACAGTAACTAAAAGCTTTCCCACATTCATGGCATTCATAAGGCCTCTCTCCAGTGTGAGTTCTCTGGTGCTGAATAAGGCCTGAACGGTCACTAAAGGCTTTCCCACATTCATTACATTTATAAGGTTTCTCTCCCGTATGAATGACCTGATGCTGGGTAAGGAATGTGCTTTGGCTAAACGCCTTCCCACATTCATTACATTCATAAGGTTTCTCTCCAGTATGAATTCGCTGATGCTGCGTGAGATAAGAACTCTGATTAAAGGCTTTTCCACATTCATTACATTCATAAGGTTTCTCTCCAGTATGAATTATATGATGTCGAATAAGGGCTGAGCGGTGACTGAAGGCTTTCCCACATTCATGACATTTGTAAGGTTTCTCTCCAGTATGAATGCGCTGGTGTAGAGTAAGGTGTATGCTCTGGCTAAAGGCTTTACCACAATCATTACATTCATACGGTTTTTCTCCTGTGTGAATTCTATGATGCAAGACAAAAGCTGAGTAGTAACTGAATGCTTTCTCACACTGATTACACTTCCAAGGTTTCTTTCCAATTAAATCTGAATTTTGTTTTAAATTCTTTTCAAGTGAATCACAATTCTGTAGTCTCTCCCCTTGTTGTTGAACAAGTAATGATCTCTGACTAAAATTTCTCCCATAGTCATCACACTGGTAACTCTTTTCACTACATTTCTTCTGAGTGACAACTTCTTGTACTGAATGCTTCTCGTGGTTTTCCTGCTGACTCTCTAAAGAATCCTTACACTCGCTGGAAGCTTCCTTTGGAAATCTTTCTGTTAACACCCCAGGGGCTGAACTCTCTTCAAAAAATCCATGCTCAGGAGTCAGCTCCTTGCTTTCCAGCCTTGTTACCCTCTCTGCAAGAAACAAAAAAATATATATACTATCTCTTGTATTGAGAGAAAGCTAATGGCTGCATTAGGAAAATAATACATATAGGGCACACATTAATCTGAAAATTCTAAAAAAGGGTCTTACCATCTTGAGAGGAGATGAAAAAAAGAGTTGAGTGAAAAAACTACAGTTGGATGAAATAAAAAAGTAAGCAGGTAATCAGTATTTCTGTAGCCATAAGAAAAGGAAATTAGAACAAATAAGAGAGAAAACGGTTGAATAGAGGTGGTGTGGGGGAATAGCAGATTTAAAAAACAGGGTCTTGGGGAGACTAGATTGGAATCAGAGGAAAATGGTCTCCCAGGGACTGCCCACCGTTACCACCTCCTCAGAGCCATCATTCCATACCTTCAGAATCACAATCTTTAGTTGATATTCTTGTCATCAAACAATCCAATATGTCCCAATGCTGCCAAGAGACTTCTCAAACCATCCCTCTAAGCATACTACACATTAACCTCTATTCCCTCCACTATATTTACTAAGACACAAATTGTGGACGTGATCATTCAAAGTGGCCCATATATACGAATTCAAATCCTCACAGTGTTTAGTAACTGGGAAGCATAACATCTTTGAGCCCAACCTTGGCAAACTATAAAGAGTGAAATACGTTAGAACCTTTTTCCCTCCCACTAGCAAACAGTGCGCATGGAGACAAAGTAAAAATCCAGGAATTCTGATCGAATCCCACCTTATATGGTACCCCCTCCACAATCCTGATCTTCCTAGAAAAAAATTGGAAAGGAAACATCACTGCTAAAAATGTTTACATACTTTCAAACTGACATGGTCATAAATACTCATTCCAAGCATAAACCTACATGAAACAAATCAAAACAATACAATATTCTCAACTAAATTATAATGTTCAACTCATTGAACTTTGACCAAGTCTTAAAGTATGAATAGGTAGAAATAGGCAAAGAGAAAAAAAGGGATTTCCAGTTAAGGAGAGTGGAAGAATCAAAGTCCCAGATGTTCCTGAAAAAGCCTGGTTAGTGGCAGATGCTAAGGGAACTGTCTACCTGGTGTTAAGAAGAGTTCAAGTTATAGACAGAGACAAGTAGCTTAGACAGATAGGCTGAGGCTTGAAAAGAATGCAGCGAATACAGACTGGCAGAGTAAATATCAAAAACTCACGGTAAGAATCTAGCAGTTTCCTCAATCATAATACAAGGAAAAGAATAAAGAAAGAACACTTAGTTGATTGTCTATGGCAATAATTCAGTCTGACAAAAGCAATAATGTCAAATTGATGACATTTTTCAAAGAAAAAATTGCCAGGACTTAATCAAAAGCCATCATTTGTCTGGCATATATCCAGATATTGTTCTAAACATTTTTCTTCTATGATTTCATTTAAACCTTATAATAAATTCTATGAATGTTACTATTATCTCCATTTTACCATTGGGAAATTTGAGGTACGGAGAGCCTAAATCACTTGTTAAAGGTCACAGAGACAGTAACTGTCTCAGGTTAGCTTTAAATGCAGGAAGGCCGCTTCCAGTGTCTGCTCTCTTAGCACTATGCAGTCTGCCTCTTCTTAAACAGACAAAGGAGAGCCCAGAGATAGCTTGTAGTTAGTAGATAAAAGAACAACGGTGAAATAAAAATGTGAATAAAGCCTGGTTTACAGCCTTGTTGATAAGCAAGTGATTAACAAACATTAAAATGTTTATTTCATTCCACATTAGTTGGGAAATAAAATTGGACTGAAAGGGTGAGATCTACTTTCTATAAAACCAGGTGATGGCTTTATAACAGCCACTGGCGCTGGGATGTGGCACAGGGGAGACAGACTTTCAACTTTTCCATGGTTCTAGTGAACTCTGCAAGGCTCCTCCACCAGCATCTCAAAGATACTTTTCCCAAAGGCCATCTGGGTCCTGTTTTCATTGTTAAGCATCTCCCCCTTTAGCAACAATCACTCACCTGGGCTGGGTGCTTTGGGGACTTCTCTCTCCAATTCCCCCTTTCGTTCCAACTGAGAAATTACATCAGGTTTAGAGATTGGAAGCCCTGCTCATGGAGACAGAAAAAGGTGCCAGTAAAGAACTCAATGTTGGTTGCTAGGTCTTTCTCAAAGAGAAAAATATTGGTACTGAGATTGATAGGGGCTTATGTCAAGTTCAGGACAATTAAATCACCTGTTTTTACCTCTGACCATTGAAAAAATAAGTACCTATTTTCACCAGAGGTATTTTTTGCTAGAACTTTGTCTCAATATCCTTGGCCAGGGAGTAAAGAAAGATGATACAGTTTAGCTTTGACCAGTAAGAATAATAAAAAAATAAAGTGTTGCTTTTAACTCTAAGAATATTAAAATTGTATCAAGAAACAAAAATCAGAAACTGCCTGACTTGGGTATTGTGGGGATTAAAGATCTTCATATCTAAGGACCTCAGAGATCCTAGAAACTGGGGAAGCATTGGGTAAATGCACAAGGAGAGCCATCCTTACCCAACAAGACCAGACTCCTATGCTCCTCAGGCACATCTCTCTGAGAAGGGCTCAGCTGTCCCCACTGTGTGAAAGCGTCAGCCATACCCCTGATCATCACTGATTCCTGAAAGACCAAATAAGTAAGTGCTCACACCAAGGGACCTTCTTTCTACAGGCCTTTGGCAAACTGAAATTGACAGCATACAGGAAGACAGAAAGGATAGGACCGTTATACAAAATGATTTTTAATAGCTCGACTAACACTATGATTCTCTATTGCATTGATAATACATAAACCCATTCTTTGCCTCCATACATCAGAGCCAAATGTTACCTGAAATCAGGAGGGACAAGTACCCTCAATGTAAAAACCGAAGATACAAAGGTATTAGTTTAAATATCAATAAATTAAACCATGGAACTAAAGAAAGCCTAGCAACTTAGATGTAGGAGAAAGAAGAAAATACAATTATGAATTAAGTATTCTATTACTAACCCAAATATTTCAATTAAAACCCACCCCAAGGGGCTCAAAATCAAGGCCAGGCCATTCTGTTTGTGAAAGGTCTCAGCCTTGAGCCGTCACAATGCTGCGTGGCCACACATGGGGTCATCCTGAGTTGGAAGAGACTCCAGAGCGGCTGGTTTTGTTTTTTTGCTTTTTGTTATAAAACAAAGGGATTGAAGAAATGTGAAATACTTTTCTCTACTTTTATCCTTGGAGAATACAAGCAGTTCAGTATGTATTAAAATTAAGATTTGCTGCACAGAGCACACACTATAGATTTGTGTGAGTACCTCAAGCCCAAATGATTACAAACATTCTCAAAATGGCACCAACTCTAATTCATCATATGATTCCTCCTTCACTCTCTGCTTCTTTCCAGTAGCTCAAAAGTGTGCCACGGTCGCTTCTGCCCTTTTTAACACACCTTTTCCTGCTCCTGAGTGTTTTTCCTCCTGCTCCATCCTTTCAGGTACTTGAATCCTGTTCAGATTTCAGCTCTTAACTTGGGTGTTATCTCCTCAGAGAAACTTTCCCTGACTCTCTTAATTGTAGCACCATGTTCCTTCCCTCCCCTTAAGAGGACTCTGTAATTAATAGAGGTCTGTACCAATAAGTTCCTTGGCAGAGGACACCACGTCTGTTTTGCTCACCAAAGCAACCCCAGTGTCTGACACAGAACAGGAATGATGTAAATATTTGTTGACTATTTGAATGAAGGACAAATGAACAGGAATTCATAGAAACAAATTTAAAACAATTTTGTTTTATAACAAAAAGCAAGGTTTTCTATAAAAAGAAGCATGGGAACAGAGGTGGAGAGGTAAACCTAAGTGTTTATCAAAAACTGAAAACATTGCAAGACTGTTGATTCTAGCCTAACCGAGATCTGGATGATAGGCACCGTTTTAGTTTTGCTACTAAAATGTAGGTAGAGAAAACAGGGAAGGTGATATTCCATTGACTCTGTTTACTGCTAATAGTACAAATGGCTAATGAGATTTCCAATTCTAAATACTATAGTTTGATCAGAAACCGAAAAAAAAAAAAGTTTTGGGTTGCTTATAAATTACTGTTGTATCCCTCTTTGAACCACCACTTTGGGCATATTCCCCTGAATGTACATAGAAATAAAATGGTTAATTTGATTTACATTCAGCATCTAAAGTTCATGACCAAGACCTCCCCAAACTGGTAAAAACAATGCATATAATAAAAGAGAAGTTACTAGAACTGAGTGTTTTGAAAATCCCTTCCCTCTTAATTTAAGCTTATTGTCCTTTAAGGCCATATGTCTCAAGAGTTATCAGCAGAAGCAATGTGCATTTGTGTCGTTGTCTTCTTTAATAAGCAATGCTAACTGTAACAGATTAACGGGTGGTTTCCGGGCAACTGAAGCTCCCTGAGAAAACCTCCACCATCAATCTCATTTCCGGAGCTGCCGCTTAGGTGAGGGTACCAGTGCTTGACGCCCCGGCAGAGCAAGCGCACACTGTCCAGCAGACGCTGCTGACCTCTTCTCCTCTTCCCTCTGAAAGGGACGCAGATTAGAGCCAAGACTGACTTTCTCTCCCATCATTTCACAAGGATCAACTGTACCTGTACACTAGAAGGCCAGGTGCAAAATAGACAAGGAACCCTAGCACCTTTACCATAGTGTCTCCCTTCCATGTGCAAGGCCAGCTCCGACTGAAGCATCTTGACCAATCTTCTCTCTTCATTTAGTTACAGCATGTTTTATCTGCATGAGCCTCTAAAAACCTTCCTGGGCCTGTTTGCCTCTGAAATACGATCCAATATAGATTTTTCTTGTGGTCTGGCCACAACATACCCAAGATTGCCTTACCACACTCCAGTTTGCACCACAGTTACACACACACACACACATACACACACACCACACTTTGAAGACTTCTCTCTCATCACTTGAAAACTTTTTTTGCCAAAGTTGTACCCTCTTGGAATATTACTTTATTCTACTTTCAAACTAAACACTCTATCTTGTTTTTCCCAGGCCTAGAGAACGGAAAATACCCTCCCTGGCCCTTTGTCATTTCTGAATTTTTAAAGGTCCATTTCTTCATGCCATTTGACTATTTTCCTATGTATATCTCATCTCCTCAGTAGACTCTATGAGGTAGGCGTAACCACCTTCATTATTTTGCCTTTAACAGAAAGCCGACTAGAGTCCTGCACAGACAGTAAGCGCTCGCACACTAAATAGGTAGAGAAGAGACGACGGTAAAAGGGAAAGGGTTTTCAAGCCGAGAGCATTTCCTGTGAGGTTCTTCATGAGTCAGGTTATCAAGGTGAAACCAGTCTTTGAGAAACCCCCTAACAATGGAAGGAAAAACACCAATATTCTAAGAACAACAACAATAATTTTTTAAAAATCGAAAGCTACCTGGGAGCTAGGGATCAGCAGGTTAGTGGTCATGCCGATTCCTTTTGAGTTTCCAGTACGGGGAAGGTCCCAGTCCTCAGCTGGTGATCCTAGCAGTGCAGATAGGAGCCATGAAGATTCCTCTTGCCTAGTAGTAACCTCAGAAACCGCCATACACCAGCTACTTGTTGTCAGAGAAGGGTCAACATAGTGAGCCAAGGGATAATACTCAGCATTCCAGAAACAAGAAAACTGATAATAATTCTGCTTTAGGTTCCTCTTCTGCCCGTAAATGCCAGGAAAACTCCTATGAGAATCTGGACACATAAATATACATATATTTCTCTCCCACTCAAAATAATACTGTCTTGTCAACCTGTGCCTCGCTTTTGATTCATTCCTGTGTGACTCCAGGCTCATGGGATAAATCAGACTGTTCATGTGTGCCATTGAAGTCTATTCCAACACATAGGGACCTCGTAGCTCAGAGTAGTGTTGCCTCCCGGGGTTGCTAAGCCTGGATGGGGATCCTTACAACAACAGACTGTCAGGCCTTTGCTCCTGAGGAGCGAGTTCAAAATAATGACCTATTGGATAGTGGCGGAGAGCTTAACTCTTGCACCACCAGTACTCTTGATCTAAAACTAAACTAGTTAAATTATTTTTGAGAGTAGTCTTTCCAGACATAACACGGACTTTTTCTGAAAATGATGTCTTGTAGGGAAAAAATAAGATTCTAAACAAATCGTAGGACTTGTCGAATCCTTCCTTTCACCTTCTTCTGCCAAATGGGTATAACATTCTCCTTTCTACTGCTTTGTGAGGGATAAGAAGGGGGGAAAAATCATTATTAGAAGCTAACTTGTCTGATCTATTGATCTTGTGGGGCAAAGGGCAGCATCTAAAACCAAACCCGTGTCTATGGAGTAAACTCGAATTCATGGCGACCCCATGCGTTACGGAGTGGCATTGAGCCTCATGGGATGCTTCTTGGCTACTATCATCCTGTTAGCAGATGATCAGGCTTTTCTTACGCGGCATAGCTGGGGGGTTTTGAACCACCAACCGTCCGGTTATAGTAGACAAGCACAGTTCGCACCACCCAGAGGCCACCTAGAGGAGGCATACAGCACCCTACAGTCCGGCAAGGCTAACAAGGCGACGGGCTCTCCCTCAACACCCCAGCGTGGCCATCTGGTAAGAGGGGGGCTCTCTCATCCGGCTATGTGCACATTCTCCTTCCTGAGCCTGCCTAGCCCGAGAACAACCTTCCTTCTTTTCTTTCTCTCCAGGTGGCACCCTCTGAAATCCTCACCTCGGCCCCGGGCTCCAGGGTGACGCCCTCCTCGTGCCCGCACCGGCTCAACGCGCGCGGGGGTGAAAAAGACACAAGGGTCGCGCTCGCGGGAGGGGAGTGGAGGGTCCCACCGCTCGGATCGGTCCAGAGGCCGGGGAACGCGGCCCGCGACCCTCGCTGGGCAGCCCGGCGACCCCCACCCTGAGATCCTCCCACTGTCTTCCTTTCGGCCACTCAGACTTAGAAGGATAGCCCCCCTCTACTCCGAGTCCCACCTCACGCCCCACGTGCAGGAAGCTCCGACCAGGCGACAACGGCATCTAAGCAGCAGCAGGGCCAAGTCGCGCCAGCCCGACCGCGATGCTGAACTACAACGCCCAGAATCCTCCTCGGGACGCGGCTTGCGTCCCTGGACGCCACTTCCCAGAGGACCTCGCGACTCTCGGGCAGACTGCTTTCGGTGCGGTTGCTGGTGCGGTGCTTCGCGCCCCGCGACCCGGACTCCAGGAGCGTTGGGTGGCCCAGAGCTCCTATCCACGGACTCTCAAAGGTCCGCCCCTCCCTCGTGGTGACTCTGGGCTCCGCCCCTGGAGGACGTTCCCGGCCGCGTCAGACTTCGCCCAGCTAGAGACAGTCGCTCCTTGGCTACTGTAACCTTCAAAGGACCACGCCCATCATTGACCCACTTACCTCCTCTCCGAAGCCTTTCCAAGCGGAGCCGCCTGCATCACAAAGGATGCATAGCTCCCGGTCTTGGGAAGATTTTGTTTTATTTGAGGCTTCCGATTACTGCATTATAAGCATGCATCACACTGCCCCATGCCCACCTCTACCGTGCCTCCCAGATACATTGGGCCTATTGTGACGGGGACAGGGGTCACCTGATTTACTTCAAGTAACCAAGGCTATTTATTTGTGCTGGGCCTAGGAATTAGGAAAACTGGAATCTCAACCCTTGCCTCGCTGCAATCCAGAAACTGTCATGCTTCCAAGAAGAACTAATACTGGTACCGCTGACCTCACGGAGACCGGAACTTGAAGGAGAAGTAACTCAGGCTGCCAGTGAGCTCTAGGAATCACCTACCAGGCTAGTGTGTGTTCTAGCTTGGCTTCCGATAACCCAGTGGCTAATGTTCTTTTCAGTTAAACTTCCCCTGAAAGACAAGCCCTATTTGGCCTAAGCACGTCCCTGTTTGGGTGTAAGTCACTGTGTCTGTTTGTCCTTGCTTGCTGTCGTAGAATTCCCAGCTTTTAGCTAAGCATCATGCTTTCAAAAGTAACGACATTTCTCATCACACCTGTCTGTACAGGGAGAGGCGGTGGGGAGATGGAGATGAGAACTAAAAGGATTCTTACAGAGAAGGAAGCCTTCCTCTTGTCCATTCCTTCATGCTGGTTGGAACATAGACATAATCACAAGTCATCATAGGCCAATTAGAAAAGGTTAACAGCCTAGGGATGCCAAATCAGCAATATAGAGGAAACTGAGCCCTGAGCAATCAGATAAAAGGGAGATGGATAAGCTTCTATCTTGCATGAGCCACTGTTACTTTGGGTCTGGGCTACACACATAGCCATGCTTGTCTCCCAGCTGTCTATTGACTGGCTGCGTTTGGTCCAATTAGCTAGGGCTGAAGGCAGGGGCCTGCCATAGCTAAAAGTAGATGGAGGGAGTCTCCTTGGGATGGACAGTTTCCTTCAGAAGATGTTGTGCATGGAACACACCAGCAACACAGACCTTTCTTCCTTTCCCTAACCATTCCTGTCACGAAATCCCTTCTCTCCTCTCTGCCCTCATCTGACTTGATAAACAGGATCCTCCCTCTTCCTGGAAACACTTTCTGCTTTTCCCCCCCCTTGCTTGGTCATTCCTTCTGAGTCTACTTGGGTAGTTCTTCCTCTCCTCTCCAACCTCCAAACCAGTGGCTCTCAAATATTAGTCTGATCAGAATCAACTGGAGGGCTTGTTAAAACTATCATCTCTGTTCAGGAGGCTTAGCCTAGAGCGGAGACTTTGAATTTCTAGATCCCAGGTGATGTTGAAACTCCTGGTCTGTGAGCCAACTAAATATTAAAATGCCCAGGCCTCAATCCTTGCATATCTCTCCTTTGTCTTTCAACAATTACACCCTAGGTAATCGCATTGATCCAAGCGTAGTCAACTCCCAATATATATCTCCACCTTGGACCTCAAACCTGGCCTCTTAGACTTACCTGAACAGCCAGCTCCTTGAACTCTCTACTTGGATGTTTAATAAATAACTCTAATAAGGAATAACCCTCCTCATTACCCATTGCTACACCTCCTCCATCAAGTTTTCTTATCTCAGTCAATGGCAATTACATCCTTCTAGAGCAGCGGTTCTCAACCTGTGGGTCTCGTCCCCTTTGGGGGTTGAATGACCCCTTCACAGGGGTCACCTGATTCATAACAGTAGCAAATTGACAGTTATGAAGTAACAAAAAAAATAATTTTATGGTTGGGGGGGGGTCACCACAACATGAACTGTATGAAAGGGTCATGGCATTAGGAACGTTGAGAACTACTGGTCTAGTGCCTCATTTCAAAAACCTTGGAATTATTCTTCTGTTTATCTCACACCCTATATCTAACAGTACATCCTCTTGCCTATACCTTCAAAGTATATTCAATATCTGATGACTTACCACCTCCATTGCTGTCACTCTGGTCCAAGCCTCCATCTTTTGCCTAGACCAATGCAATGTCTTGATTGATCCTTCTACACTTCCTGCCTGTTTTGTTCTCAACCCCGTGGCTCCCCGTCTCATGCAGAATAAAAGCCAAAGCACTTCCATTGGTGCACCAAACCAAAGAACCCAAACCTTTTGCTACTGAGTCCATTTGGAGCCGTGGCAGGTCCGCGTGTTATCCAGTAGAACCGAGCTCCGGAGGGTGTTTTCGACACTAGGTGAGTGTGAACTGTTAGCCTGTAGGTTACTCGTAGTTGGTAGGTCCAGTCAATCTTGATTCATAGGAGCCTCATGTGAGAGAATAGAATTGCCCCGTAGGGTTTTCTAGACGGTAATCTTCTCATTGTCCTTACGGAACCCTGGTTGCATAGTGGTTAAGCGTTGTGCTGCTAACTGCAAGGTCAGTGTGAAACCACCAGCCGCTCCTTGGGAGAAAGACAGGGCTTTCTACTCCCATAAAGAGTTACTGTCTTGAGCAGAGCATTTGAGGCCGTCTTACAGAGACATCAGAAGGAGCTGGTCCTCTTTCTGTGCTCAGCGCAGCCATGGCTTGTGGATCCAAGAAGCATCTTAATCGCGAAGCTGCTTAAAAGCTTTGCATGCTGGACAAACTGTTGTGTTTCTCATCATCCACCCACTGGTCCCTGCGAGCTGAGAGAAGGTCTCCCGCTGACCATTGTTTAAAGAAATAGACTTAAGTATTCTCTGACTGGAGACGAAGTTAAGAAATATCCCTGGATCCAAAGACCAGGCTATTGAAGAATCAGGAACGTCTTTCTCCCCACCCAGTCACATACTTGGTTGGGTGCCCCAGGGCATCTCAGGGTGCCAGTGGCCTGGCAGACCCCTTCCCCAGCACTGCAGAGCCCATGGGGGGTGGGGAGAGTAGTGGTGGTGGGGTCACCTGCCTCTCACCACCTTTCCTGGGGTGGACCGGTGAATTTCTAATCTGCACTGGCCCCACAATTGAAATGGAGCTGTCAGGTAAGTGTTAAACTACTAACTGTGAAGTTGATGGTTCAAACCCAGCAGCTGCTCCATGGGAAAAAGATCAGGCTCTCTGATTCAGTGAATATTTGTAGTCCCAGAAAGCCTATGTGAGGTCATTCTGAGTTGGAATTGACTCGATAGCAGTGGGTTTTTGGATACTTCTACAGCAATTGAAACAGCCTGATACTGGTGTGACAAATAGACACATAGACCAATATAATAAGGATTCCAGAAAGA